ATTGAAAGTGATATTTCATTTTAATTATATGTTGTGATAATTTAAGCATGAATAAAATTTTATTTTGCAGATTTTATTTGCCGCAAAATCTAGATGGCTGCATAGTTGGCCCAAATGTTGCCTACTTCAAACTTAATACTAAATGGACACCAAGTAATGCACTACTAAGTCTTCTATTTGTATTTATTACTTCACTTCATTAACTAAGCCTCCGTTTACCAGAGCGTTTAGAGTGATTCATCACTTTTATTTATTTATTTTTAATTATTTGAATGAATTACTAACATTAAAATGTTTGATATTTGTAAAAGTTTTTGTTGTGACAATAAGTGTATAATAAGAATATAAGTGTGCTTAATTGTTTGGTCAATGGTTAAATATTTTTGCGAAGGATCAAACGACCGTTGCAATTCATGTCGTTACCCTTTGTCGTCAAATCTCTCTGAGCCAAACATCACAATAAAATTAATTTGTGTTGCCGATTTCATCGCCATAGTGTGACGGACATGTAGACCGTCACATTTTTTGTTGCCACTGTGTCAACATATTGGTGATAGAATTGATTCTGTGTGTTCCATTCTGTAGCGAAAATAAACTTTATTTAAAAAGTTAAATATTTTCGCAATGGAACAAACGGTCATCGCAATTTTTGTCGCCAACCTTAGACGTCACTTCCCCCCTTTGCACCAACACTCGCAACGGAATGAGTTCTATTGCCGATTCCATCGCCATAGCCCAACAGACATGTTGGGCGTCGCATTTTCTGTCACCACTATGTCAACATATAGGCGACGGAATTGATTTCGTCGTTTATTCTGTAGCGAAAATAAAATTTACTTTAAAAATTAAATATTTTCGCGACGCAAAAATAATCGTCGCAATTTTTGTCGTCATCCTCCGTCGTCAATTCATTGGCACCGAGAATTATGCGGGAGTATTTCCCACTTTGCGCAAAAAATCGCAACAGAATTCACTCTCGTCGCCAATTTTATCGCAAAACCGCGACGAAAATATTAGTCGTTGCATTTTTTTGTCGCCAATTTGGCGACGAAACACCATTCCGTCGCAAAATCTGTCACCAAAATTTGGGCGCCAAGATTTCGCAGGTTTTTTTCTCACTTTGCGCCAAAAAAAACTACGGAATGTAATTTCGTCACCATTTTCGTTGCATTATCGCAACGAAACGCGTTTCGTCGCAAAAACTGTCGCGAAACGGCAACGAATTACGTTCTGTCGCGATGTTTCCGTCGTGATTTGTGATTTTTCTTGTAGTGTGCTTTATATGAGTTTTTCCTCAAGGGAATAGAAAATTGTGCAAGTGGCAACTCTGAAGTCTCATTGTTGAGAGATATTTCCGAGTAAATATGAGCTCGAACATATTCCTTGCGTATGAGATTAATTTCTTATAAGAATATGATGTGAATTTTGTGATTATGTTGTTCAACTTGATGTAACATGTGGACAACATTATTTCTATGGCTTACTAACCATGAGCATTTGTATATATATTATTTAAACTCTTGGTTGAGTCATATTGAAATACCTATAATTCCTAGTTAAAGGGTAATTGTGGTCAATTGAGATAACCAAGTTTGGTGAAATATATTCAATTGTTGAGCTTGTATCAGGCAGAGTGCGAAGTTTCTATAATGCTCTACAAAGCAAATCGGCCAAACTCAGTCTACAAAGGAGCCAATGTTGGGCACCAAAGATCAGTCTGGGTAAGAGATCAAATACATTTGACAAAAAATATTTGCAAGTGTTGCATTGGGGGGTAATAAACTCCTTATATTTTCATCAAAAGTTTCTCTGTGGTATTGAGAATAATGATGAAAGAGAATGTTTCATGTTAAACATGAAAATCTCAAGGGATTATTTACGAGTAAACGAAGTACTCGTCAAAGTGCATGTAAGTTTGGTCAAGAGAATCAACTTACTTGAGGGCTAATTATGAGGATTAGTAACTGAGTCATTGGAAGGACTTAAAGTCCAAGTGGTAATGAATTCGTGGTGGATCCCACTTCTGTGGTCAAACGAAGCCATGAAAAGAGTTACAAAATAGTACACTAGTTGGTCATTCCAATAGTGTGTGTACTTGTGAGGTTGAGCTACAACTCTTAATGAATTCATAACTCTTTGAGAAAGGGTGGTTTTGTTGAAACAAACCTAATGAATTCACCGCATAATGACATGAGTACAAAATGCTCTTGGTGCCTTATACTCAATTGGGATGGTCTATGTTGAGATAGATCTAAAGAGATCCCTAACTTGAGTGGAAAAGGGCTAACCGCCTCTTATGAAAGATAATGGGGTTATCCCAAGAAGCCGAGTGGCTAAGAAACATGGTGATAACCGTGTAATTGTGGGGTGTCCAACACCTTCACCATATTGTGATTCACAAACTGTCATTTGCGTTGCCAATAACAGTGCCTATGATAGAAAGAAAAGACTTACAACTGGTTTATGTCTTTAACTACTCTATAAGCCTTTAATGGTGGTCTATACCGAGATAGACCTGATAGAGTTAAAAGTCTGTATTGAGATGGACTTCACAAGACGTAAAAATCTATAATGTTGTAAGACTTGTCAGAGTTAAAAGTCTATGTTGTGATAGACTTTGACAGGGTATAGTAGAAGTCTATATTTGAGACAGACGTAACATTCCTTAATACTAAGGGTGTTCATAAGAAGTCAAAGAGTTTGACTTTTGTAGGACCTGCCTTTTGAGTTGGTGTGTGCATTCGAGTTCAAAATTTATCTAACCGGTGAGTTCAAGATTCACATCACTTCCGGGAAGAAAATTACTCAGTGTCACTACGTGTCAGTTCAAGTTCTCAAACACTAACATTAAGATCAACTCATTTGTATTGCTCAGACATTGTTGCCTCCTAGCCTTCTGCTTTGAATGTGTGGAGGATTGTTGGAAATAGTCCATTCAAAGGACATCATTTACGGACATAGTTATGTGGCAGCATGAATTGCGCTAGTGTGTGGATGTGGCTGGCTGAATGTCTCTTAGTCTTGTACTATAAAAGGGGCAGCCCTCATTTGTCTAAAACACACCAAGAAGAAATATTTTCTTCTTCATTCCTTCTTCGTTACTAATATATATTATATAATAGATATTATAATATATAATTCCGTGCTTGCCTGTTCAAGTCTGAGCAATAGTGAGGTTCGCCTACGTGATTACTAGTGCAAGCTATCCGTAGTAGGTCTGTGTAGCCTGTCGAAAGCGTGACAGGGTTCTAACTGCACCGTTACCGGGCAAATAACGCTTTTAAGGTAGTGTTATTGTAACACGGCACAAATTTCTTTTCAACCATACACCAATAGTGTCCGTGCTTCTTAAAAGGCTTCCAGATCGTGCGTTGACATTGCAATTTTCCCCAACACCATGTACGAACCAAACACACCCCTACTTGTATTTTTTTTTTCTTTGATTTTAAGGAATCATCATAGTTGACTTGAACTTTCTCAAGTCAAAGCTAAGGCTTCACAATATATGAGAATAATTTTTTCATCTTATAAATTCTTAAGAAAATTTAAACTTCTTTTTTGCTACCAAACTTTTTTTTATTGAATTATAATTACCTTTTACTATTTTTATTCGTAACATCATTACCTACAATGTTATATACGTATTCCAACTTGCAAAACAATAATGCTATAAAGTTAAATAATTAAAAAAAAAAAAAAAAAAAAAAAAAAGGCAATCCTTTTCGGATTTGTAGATGTGAATTGGATGTCTCTTCTTCCAAGCTTGTGCATATATTCCGAATATTGTTGCTCCCTAATTTTTTTTATTCTATTTCTGAGCCCTTCATAATTTATTTTTGGTCAGATTACTAATCATATTAGTCTTTCTATACGAGAAGATGTTCGAATTCTTGACTTCTCTTAAAGGATAATAATGCATGACCATTCACGCCAACCAAACTGATTTGCTCTTCAAGATTTGCGGTATGTAGTGTTTAACATTCTTAGCTTGTTGCCATTTGATGCCATCTGATCATTAAATAAGTGCCTTAATTAATACTTATATTCCATGTGGTAGATAAGTAAATGAGCAATGTGGACATATTATTATATTATTATTATTATTCAGGCCACATGAGGCAAAAGTAGACCCATGCTATCAATTGATTGACACCCTCATGGCCCTATTCATAATTCATCTACACAAATAATTCTCTTTTCCCTGTCATCACTAAAATAAAAAATGTTGCTTCTTATTTATTTCTAAAATACAATGTCGGTTTTGGTCATTTTTGTAAACATTTTATTAAATTTAAATAAAAAAATCAATAATAATAATAATAATAATAAGCAATAGAAGAAGTAAATAAAATTTGATTTCACTTAGCTTCCTTATATTATATAGATGTTTTTAATGTTCTCGTGTTATTTGACAAATACATTCATTGTCGTTTAGTTGGAAGGAAAGAAGGAAGGAATTAGGGAGAAAATGATTGAATCAACAATTCATACATATATGGAGAAGTATGAATTGCAATTCAACAAAATGAGATAATTACAATTCGGTGAAATTACAATCTCTTCCAACCAAACACTATAATTCAACATATTAATTTGAGTTTCATATTTTTATTAATTTCTCGTCCAGGCCTAACATCATATTTAAAAAAAAAAAAAGGGGGGGGGGGGGGAGGGGGGGGGGGGATTGCACTTTCTTTCCTTAAACTAAGTTATCATTGGCGTTGTATTTTTCGTCCCTTTACTAACTAAATATTATAGACGAAATTTGCAATTTTATTATGACTCAGGGACGAAAAGTGAGTACGAAAAGTTAATAAAAGGATAAAAATTGTAACGTTAATGATAATTTAAGGGTAAAAAGTGAACACGATCAACACTTTGAGACGAATTCTACAATTACTGTATAATTTAGGGATGAATTGAAAAGTGTGATTCTTCCTTAAAGAATACCATAATTATTATTGAGGGACCAAATTAAAATAGACACTCAAGAGTCAATTAAGACAATAATTAATAGATCAATTAAGTCTGATCTATACCTAAAATATAACTAATGAACCATTTTTTTTCCTTAAAAATTTAAAAATAAATGAAATTGCATTGTAAACAAGAAGAGATAATTATATAGAGCTTGTAGAGAATCGTCTAGAAGAATGATATGAATTGCATAGAGTTTTAGCTGGCATGCCCCCTAATGCATCATCCACCATGTTCTCATGCCAATTATTTTTCATTTCTTGATTCAATCTTCTCACAAACCCTTCTCTCTTCCCTTCACAATAATTCAAGAATCCGGCCACCGTTCTCGGATCACTGGTACCCTTCCAACAGCCGGAGCCGGAATATTCCGGCAACTCGGCACCCGCCGCCGCCGCCGCCGGCGCTCCACCATTGACGGCTAAAGAAGAAATGTAGTCAACAACACCGTTTATAAGAGTTACCGGAGCGTTACCTTGACCGTCCCATAGCCATATTCGTGCCATGCCACGTTGCACTGCTAAAAACATTGAATGCTTAAAATTTTTCTCGTGCATAATTGAAGGGCTTAGATGAATCACAAACTCGCTGTCGCGCTCGCCGGAGACGGTCGTCGCCGGACGTGATAAGTTCCGGCTAGACAGCCGGAGGGTGACGTGGTTGATGGTCTTCTTGGGGTGATGATCACTCGGCGGGTAAAGGGTATTTTCGGCAAACTCGCTTCTCTCGAGGATTAATCGGATGGCTTGGTCGTTGGACACGTAGAAGAGGTGGAAGCGTTTTCCGGCGAACGTGTCGCCGGCGGCTTCGTTGATGATGGTAATGGAGAACCCCTTGGAAGCTTCATAGGTGGCCCAAACGGAGACTAGAGCAATGCAGGCGATGAAGACCAGCCGGAAACTGAAGTTGTTGAAGTCATTTCGAGATTCCGGCGTGGTTCCGGTGGTATAGCCGTCGGAATATGCGGTGGTTGGTGGGTGGAGTGGGCGGAGGAAATGGTGGTTTTGTGTCTCCTCCATGTTGAGGTTTTAAAATGTGAGCAGGGGAAGAGACAAAGGCTTACACTTATATGTCTTAACAAAAAAAGATAGAATAAAATAAGAGGAATTGAGGATGAAATTGAAATGAATGGCTCAAAAATGGATATAGGAATATAGGGAACGAGGGACCCTATGCGTTTTTCAAATGTCAATTTCTTTATTAAAGTTGAGGTTCCCAAATTTTGTAGCTCATAAAATTGATGAGATTTAAATTAACTCACTTGCCAATAACTTGTGGTTTACTGGTACGGAGTGACTCTTCGAGATGAGAGATCATGAACTTATGTTTCAGTAGGTTAAGAAAGTAATTATAAACAGATACTACATTGTAATAGAGTCAGTAGTACTCAAAAAAAAAAAAAATTAACTCACTTAACTCAATTGTTTCAATATTTGTCATCTACTAAATATTTCGTCCCCCCAACTATTCCTATGCTGGTTGTGTAATTGAGGGGTGTTGACGTGTCGTAGGTTGGCTAGGTATTTTGAGTCAGTGTCCTACTATTTTATATGTAGATCAGTGAATGTGGTGGCCCATGCTCTTAGAGCATCCACATTAGTTGGGGAGAATTGAGGGATAATGTAAGAGTGATTAGGAGAGAGAATGTGGGAAGGGGATGAAAAAAAAAAACAAAAAAAAACCAAAATAAAAAAACAAAAGCAAAAAAATAAAAATAAAAAAAAGAATTGTCAGGCGCGCCTGACGCGCCCGCGTGGGCGGGCTGCTGTGCGCGAAACGCGCACAGCAGCCCCATGTTTTTTTTTTTTCTTCCTCTTTTTCTGCCATTATTTCCTATTTTGCAGATGAATTCTTCCCTAATTAATTCTCCCCCACATTAGCTATAAACTTGAATGGAGTGAATTAATGCTGCATTCTCCCCACATTATCCACTAGTGTGGATGCTCTTACACAAGTCACAAATCTCAGTATGATTTTATTATTAGGCATGTTCCTATTCTTTCGTGTATTCAACACTTTTTCTCGATTGCTTAATATATAAGTTGTTTTTAGTTTTCAAAGAAAAAAAAAAAAAAGAAGTAAACCTTCTCTGAGAAACAAAAAGAAAAATAGGTTTGATAGACCTTCATTGGAGCTCATTAGGAAGGTGTACACAAGTTCAAACTTTATTAGGAGCTCATTTTATATTTTTAATTTTATTGTCAATGCTAACTCTGTTATTACTCCATATTTTGTTAAATGCAATTAGCCAATAATTATTTATTCGAAAAGGGTGGTTAAGTGAGTGGAGCATAATTTTTGCGTATAGGTTAATTAAAGTACTTCCTTTATCTCATTTTATGTATCAAATTTACTATTTATTAGTCAAATTAACTTTTTATTCATTGCTTATTTTTCTTTAGTAATTTTTATTTAATTTAATTTTTTTGTGTGTGTTAATAGTACTTTTAATGTAGTTTTTAAAATATATAAATTTTATATATATTAATACAAAACTGAATATTATGAAAATTTTTTAAAAATAACTTCATTCAACTCTTGTTAATCGAATTAGATAAATAAAATGGAACGGATGCCGGATGTGTATATAAATATGTTAGAGGCATGTTTATAAAATTTAGATTATGGTATGTACTGCGTGGTGCCACGTGCCCACGTCATTAAGCATTGATGTATTGTACCCATCTCATGTCATCATCAAATAAATGAATGTGACAATAACAGTGTCTCAATGAATCTGTTATTGTTTGGTTCTTATCTACCAGTTTTGTTTTTTCTTTTTTCTTCTTTGATCGAAGGGTCCGCCACTCCACGGGCAGTTGGAATTCACATTCACTTGGTGGTTGCTCTCACTCCGTTCTACCACTGTTATGCATTACCTACCAGCTTTTTATTCAAACAATACATTGGTACTTTGGTAGGTATATTGTAATTAATACCATTTCGGAATTTAGAGAAAATGGTTAAATATGCCCTTAAACTTTATCTCAAAAGTCAATTAGGTTCTTAAATTATATAAAAGTGTAATTAAATTCTTAAACATGTCAAATTGAGTCAATGAAGCTCAAAAACCAATAAATAACCTGTTATTACAGATCATTTCAATTCCGGCGACCGACGACAAAATCCGACCACCGTCGTCAGATTCCGACCGTCCGATCGTCTTCTTCGTTGGAGAAGACAACCAGATCTAGTCGTCTTCTTCACTGGAGAAGGCGATCGTCCAGTCGTCTTCTCCAGTGGAAGACGGCTGGATGGCCGAAATCTGACGACGGTGGCCGGATTTTGTCGCCGGAATCCGTCGCTGAAATTGAACTTCATTGACCTAAATTGACATGTTTGAGGGTTTAATTGCACTTTTTTAAAGTTTAGGGACCTAATTAACCTTTGGAGTAAAGTTTAAGGGGCTAATTGACCCTTTTCTCATGAATATATACTACGCTCAAACTAATTGCTTTTAAAAAACATATATATTATAATATTTTCCGAAATCAAATTTTATTTTGAATCCATTATCTATACTATATATAAAAACAAAATCCTGAAATTTTAACTTCTCGCCCAATTCCTAAAAAATCTCTCTTCCTAATAAAATATATTTATTTCTACATTCCCATTCGTACAATAATTCTGGGTTAAAATTCTATTCTAATATTATAAAATTGTGTAATACTATTCCTATTCTAATCTATATCTATACTATATATCTGTGTTGCAAAAATCGCGCCGCTGGCCGCGGTGAGGAAGGTCGGAATCGGCCTCCTCCGCGGCCGCCTCGCCGGCTGAATCGGCGATTAATTTTTTTTATTTTATTTTTTTAAAGTTGTAAAGTGTCAAAAGTTCGGCAAGGCATAACTTTTGACTTAGTTGTCCGTTTTGGACAATTTTTTTTTTTGAAATCGCGTATTTTTTTGAAATCTATCCACCGCAAATTGCTGTAGGCGGTTTGTCCCACCAATTTCTAAAAAAAATGCTTTATTAAATAGTTTCTAAGAAAAAAATATGAGAACCTTATGTTTTTAATGAATTTTTAAAATTTTTAATTAAAAATTTGTCCCGTGCATTATTTAATAATCTATCTTTATAATTGGTCAAATTATTTAATTATGGTAAATTAGGGAATAATTAATGATGGTAATAGAAATCCTAGAAGAATATAGAATTGAAGAATATTTAATTATTGTTATATTATTATTGTAACTCACGGAATATAATACAAGAATATTTAATTATGGTTATATTATTATTGTGCCTCACGGCTATTATATACTAACAAAATTTGAAAAGAAACTAATAATAATAATATAAGTGGTAATAATAATATCTAAAAGTAATTAAGTGTTAATAATAATAGTAAAAATATTAACGTAAGAATTATAACATAGAATAAATAGTAATAATTAATAACTATAGTCTATGATTAAATTTGGAATTGTCAGGAAAGATAAGCGACCTCTGGTGAAATTAACTCTTAAATAATTATATATCGATTTAAATATTCTTAATATATTACAACAATTCCATTTCGTGCATCGCACGGGTGAAAATACTAGTTATTTATTTTTTTTTAAAAAAAACTTCCCAATATTTATTTATCGCATTCACCCGCCTTTTGAGGTTAAGCTTATCACGTTGATACTAGGGGTGGGCGTAATTTGAATTATCCGAACTACCACCCAAAATTCGAACTGAATTTTAAATTTTGGATGAACCCGAATAGTTATCAATTTGAATATTTTAAAATTTGATATATTCGAATTTAGTTCGGATATGGGGTGTTAAAAATTTATCCATACCCGAACCAAAATATGAACTAATCGAAATTTTATTATAAATATAATAATATAAATTATATATTTAATTTTAAATGTATTTCATAATTAATAATATATTAATTCTCAAAAGTCTCTTAATTAGTAATTAGTAATTTGTCTTATTTTTAGTTGATAGTATATCGAAAAATATAAATACAAAAATATACGGAGCAATTAAATTGTTAAAAAATTCAAAATTGATACAAATTAAATAAAATTTTGGGTATATCCAACTAATTCGAAATAAACTTGAAATAACTTCACCCAAATTGAATATATCGGGTGTCAAAAACATCACCTAAAATTTTCAGATATTTGAAATAAAATTCGGGTGTCACCCGAACTGAACCGACGCCCGCCCCTAGTTGATACAAACAGATACACACACAAAGACTTAGGCACTTAGCATCCAATGAGAACAAACCCTATTTGAAGAGAAATGGAATTGAAATTCCATGGAAAATAAATTCCAGGAAAATTGATTCAATTGTTTGGTTGGTGAAAATGAAATTACTGGGAATATGGATTCCATTGTTTGGTTGGATTTAGAAAGATAAGGAATAATGAATATAAAGACCAACATGCCCTTAAAAAGATGAATGAATAAATAGGTGTATATGTAATTAAGAAATTTTCATAAGGGTAAAATGGTACACTCATGTTATTTTTCTTCCCAATCCTTGTGGAAAACAAAATTCCACCCCTTTGCAAAGAATTCATTTTCCTCAACTTTGAGGAATCCATTTTACAATGGAAAATGTTTTCCATCCAACCAAACAACATAAACCAACATTTTCCTTCACTTTGAAGAAAACATTTTCTATGGAAAATGTTTTCCATCCAACCAAACACCCCCTAAGAGAAAACTAAGAATCAATTTTAATTTTATATTTGTAAAAATGAGACGGATCATATCAATTTTTTTTTTTTTTTTAAATGCAATGACATTTTTGTAATTATCATCTTTTAAATCTAAACTGTAAATGTTAAACCCTAAGCAGTCAAAAGTGAACTCATTGTTGGTGATAATGAACCAAAGTCGATTTAATATCTCAAAATAGTATTTATATATACATAAGAAAATATATAAAATACTATTCGATATATATATCCGAAATATATATATATATATATATATATATATATATATATATATATATATATATATATATACACACACACACGAATATATATAAAACGAGTCCAAAGGTCATATATACATATATATCTACGAAAAAGATATAGCAATATATATCAACCAAAATTGGAACTTATAATCCTCTTGATTATAATTCCAATCCAACGACTATATCAAGTAGCGAGGATTTTTGCTTAGAAGCATAATCCAAATCGAAAGAAGAAGGAGATTGGCTCGTGTTTGGGTATAGGATTTTTAGCGCGAGTCAAGAGGTCACTCTTTCCTTAAGACCTTATTTGCCACCTCCCAAAAGTGCTAGGAGCGTTGTGGCCTAGGTTTCCCAGGATAAAACGTGCTACTATTTGACGTTTGAGCACTGGTCAAATCTTCTTCCCAAACCAATGTGGGACAAAGCTCACTTTTTCCCTTCATTTTTCCAACTCAATTTCGGTCTAAACAACTTTTGTGATCTAGTGTAGTCCTAGACTTTTGTGTTTTCGTTTAATTTTATCTTACGTTTGTTATTCCATCAAATTGGTGTTAAATAAAGAAACAATTCAATAATCTCAATATTGATCTCTCTTTACTCCCGGCCTGCAAAGTGTAAAATTTTTCTTTCTTTACGAATTATTTCCAAATTTGTTAATATAAAATTTGATTGGTATGTATTACACAAGTGTTACCCATAAAACAAAGGGTGGGGCGTGGGGGATAGCTTTACGTGTCAATATGGCGCTTGTTGGCCATGCGCCTGGCTCTCTTTCTCTAGAGAGACAGTTTTCTCCGGCGAATGAATTCTCCCCCCTTTCTCCCCTCCCTTCTTCCCTCAAAATAGTGCATTGGAGATGCCCTTACGTAGCTAATTTAAGATACAGCCAAAATTTGGGTAGACACCTTATCCATATGCATTTGTGTATACGAGAGTGTGAATCTTGTTCTTGAGCATAAAGACAAAGTCTGCAACTTTAATATTCTCACTCTTCAAAGAATTCCCATTTTCATGAAACATCCTGAGCATTCAAAAGATCATAACACAAAATGGCACCATGTTTCTTTGCAGTCGCTCCATCATCACCTTCCATCTCAAAGTTCATCTCGGAGCAGCCATACCTTTCAATGCTGGAAAACAAATGCACCTCCATGAAAGACCTCAAGAAGATCCATGCCCAGCTCATCAAAACTGGCCTAATCAATGACCCCATTGCAGCTAGCAGAGTCTTGGCCTTCTCTGCTACATCCCCTGCCTCTGACATCAACTATGCGTTCCTACTCTTCAATCAGATGAAAATCAGAAACCTTTTCGCTTGGAACACTATGATCAGAGGCTTTTCTCAAAGCTCAGCCCCTGAAAATGCAATCTTTTTGTTCATTGATATGTTAGTGAATTCGGGCGTTGAACCGGGTAGGCTTACTTATCCCTCGGTGTTTAAGGCGTATACCAGAATTGGGTTGGCCAGAGATGGAGCTCAGCTTCATGGAAGAGTCATTAAATTAGGTTTGGATTTGGATACATATGTGCGAAACGCAGTTATTCACATGTATGCTAGTTGTGGGTTTTTGAGTGAAGCGAGGATGTTGTTTGATGAGGATAAGGTTGTGGACGCTGTGACTTGGAATTCTATGGTTATGGGGCTTGCTAAATGTGGTGAAATTGACGACTCCCGGAAGCTGTTCGATAAAATGCCTCTAAGAACTGATGTTTCTTGGAATAGTATGATCAGTGGGTATGTTAGAAATGGGAAGTGGGTTGAGGCATTGGAACTCTTCAGGAGAATGCAATATGAAAATATCGAGCCTAGCGAGTTTACATTGGTGAGCCTGTTGAACGCGTGTGCTCGATTAGGAGCACTGGAACAAGGGGAATGGGTTTGTAACTATATCAAGAAGAAAAAGATTGATTTGAATGTCATAGTTGTCACAGCAATTATAGACATGTATTGCAAGTGTGGTAGTGTTCAGATGGCTCGAGAAGCCTTCGAGACAGCCCCAATCAAAGGATTATCTTCTTGGAACTCGATGGTTTTGGGCTTAGCGAACAATGGATTTGGGAAGGAAGCAATTCAGATGTTCTCAAGGCTTGAATCTTCAAATCTTGAACCCGATTCTGTGAGCTTCATTGGTGCTCTGATAGCCTGTAATCACTCGGGTTTGGTAGAGAGAGCAAAATACTATTTCACATCGATGAGAGAGAAGTATGAGATTGAACCATCAATAAAGCACTATGGTTGCTTAATTGACACCCTAGGCCGAGCGGGGCTACTTGAAGAAGCAGAAGAGATCATAAGAAGTATGCCAATGGAGCCTGATGCCGCTATCTGGGGATCTCTGCTGTCAGCATGTCGGGCTCATGGAGACTTGGAAATGGCAAAATGGGCTGCAAGGAATTTGAACGAGTTGGACGCAAATGAGGGCAGCGGTTATGTTTCAATGTCTAATATGTATGCAGCCTCGGGGGATTACCAGAGCGCAATAGACGAAAGAATCTCAATGAAGGAGAAGCAGATAAAGAAGCAACCAGGTTGCAGTTTAATAGAAGTGAACGGGGAAGTTCACGAGTTTATAGCCGGAGGAATGTTTCATTCTGAACTCCAAGAAATTCAATCTTTGCTCGAAGGCCTTGGGGAGATTGTTGCTTAATAAACGAGGTAAAACTCTAAACTCAAATGCTCAATATTACTTGATTATTCAATAGTATTTCAAAGAAATAGCTAGATAGATGATAGTTTCATACTTTCATGTTCATATGTATGATCTGATTTCTGGTAAATAGGTCACCATACCGAAAAGGACACTGCAAATTGAAGAAAGACTCGGTAAAATCTGCAAACTTAATAATGTGATAATGCTTAATTCGAGTGATGGCAGCTGAAGGGCTAGTGCACCAAGTTTAGTTTATTTGTTCTCAAACTTACTACACTACATAAATTAAAGAATTATCATTGTCTGTTGATGAAGGCAATTAACATGAAAGGAAGATCTGTTAAGAGTTAGGATGAGGGGAAATATTGGTACACTAGGCTAATAATAATTAAATTTGATTATTTGAAGTTGGTGTTACTTAACCATCTCCTAATTTCCAACCTTTCTTTTGTGTTCTGCATTAAATTTATGTGTAAAATCCCCTACTTAATCGCAGATTGCAGAGGCAAGATCGGCATTGCCTCTAGTTTTCTGCAAGTAAGAAAGAACAAAGTGGGGAAAAAATGGCTGGTGCTGAGAGGGTGGTGAATCAGAACCAAGAACTTGTAGCTACTGCCAAGTTGCCCAAGGCAGTGCCGGTAGGAGAAGCGATAAGGAGGCCTCGGGGCCGGCCAGCAGGGTCGAAGAACAAGCCCAAACCGCCAATCATCATTACGAGGGACAGCGCGAATGCCCTGAAAGCGCACGCGATGGAGGTAAGCTCGGGGTGCGATGTGAACGAAAGCCTAGTGAACTTTGCGAGGAGAAAGCAAAGGGGCATTTCCGTGCTGAGTGCCACGGGGTGTGTGACCAACGTGACACTCCGCCAACCGGCCTCTTCGGGGGCCATTGTGACACTCCACGGGAGGTTCGAGATCCTGTCTCTGCTTGGCTCCATCCTCCCCCCGCCCGCACCCCCAGGCGTCACGGGGCTGACCATCTACCTAGCCGGGGCTCAGGGGCAGGTGGTGGGAGGCTGCGTCGTCGGCGCACTCATCGCCTCTGGGCCCGTGGTGATCATGGCCGCCACTTTCTTGAACGCCACTTTCGACAGGCTGCCATTACACGATGATCAAGTGGTTTCTGCCGCCAATCAGCAGTACCAAAACAACCATCACTCCCATCAAAATGTTGAGGTCTCAGACATCTATGGCTTGCCACAGAATCTCCTCACCAATGGTGCTTTACACCCTGCAGAGGTCTATTCCTGGGCACCACCCAAGAACTTATCAAAACCATAGATCACTCCACTCCAGTCCTCCGGGCTGATCCACAAATTCATCAAAGCCATAAAGCTCCAGTCTTTTATTTACTTAATTTCAGTTCTCAAAAAAAAAAAAAATATTGTAACTTCTACAGATTATAATCATTCAATGTATGACTTCTCTTATACCTTATCCTATGTTAGTTTACCAGATACAGGGGTAGAACTGTCCAATGTACTCTCCGTCAATATCACAGAAATTAAATAAAAGCTTTAATTTCAAGTTTCCAATACTATCTTTGTTTATACAGGGAGTCTGTCTCACTTTATCTGTCATACTATCTTTTTAAATTTGATTTTTTTGGTATTTAATAATACTTTTAGTGTAGTTGCTAAATATATAAATTTTGTATACTGATACTAAGCTTAATATTATGAAAAATTGAATAAAAAATAACTTCAATCAAGTATCGTTAATCGAATCGACACATAAAACGGGACGGAGGGAGTAATATATTAAAATAATTGTTATTATGTGGTTCATACAAAAAACGTACAACATTGCAAAATATCTATATATATATATAAAGGAAGCCGCTTCTTATCAAAAAAAAAAAATCAAAATTGTTTTTCAGCCACAATATTCTACGGCGTCGTTTTCCTTTAACTTATAAAGTCTGATTTCAAAAATTTTGTTTCTCCCGCCTATTTAGATTGTGATAAGATAGTTGTGATCTTACTCTTACAATTTATGGGAGTGAGCTATTATCTACTCCATATTTAGTGTTGTAATCAGATTGGGTTGCGTGTAAAAGTAGTGTGGATGGGTATGGGATTGCTTACAAGTACATGTACTCTATTATTATTTATACATTGCTCCCGCTCACTTCCTCGGCTATAAATACGTGCTTATTGTGAGGTTGAGCTTCAATGCAAAAACAAAGCTAAGTGTGGTAAATTACAAGGTTGAGATTGCTGATCCCTTATGCAATTCAAATAGAAATCTAAGTTGTCAAAGATCCTGTTTAATGCTTTGTTTTCTGCCTTGCAGTGTCATCATGTCTGGCCAGTTTATTGTGGGGGGTCAGCTTCATCCTCAGCAAACTTCAAAGGCTATAAGGTTGCGTTGTGTGCGTTCTTACGTTGTTACTGAAAACAAAGGCGAAAAGTTAATAAGAAGTCAAGAATGTATATTTCATGATCAAGAAGTTTGTCAATTATATCTATATCTACCATTGTTTGAATTCTTATTCTTATGTTTGGCACCTCTTATATTTTTAATATCTAACTTTGTTGTTTACCATTTTTGTTCTAAATACAGGGTCTGTTCATCCATGTCCATATACCTAAGGATGTTGTGGCAAAATATAAGAACATATTCAAGGAGGGTAAAGTGTATGGCATTAGAAACTTCCTATGCATCACTAACTTCTTCAAGTATAAAACAAGCCCTCATCGTTACATGATGAAGATCAAACACGATACACTTGTGAAGGAATATAAGTGTGTGAATTTTCCCAAAACAATGTTTCGCTTCAAGAGTTTTGAAGACATACTTTCAAAGCAGGGAATTGATGAGAAAGTCTTCGATAGGTTATATTAAAATAAAAATTCTAAAGTCAATATGATTTATTACCTCTATTATGATGTTATGTTTTATTTAACTACTATGCTGTTTTTTCTAAATTCAGATGTCCTTGGTCGTATTGTGGAGATATATTCTCCAGTGGAGAAGCTAATAGCAGGGAAGAAGGCTAGACTAATTGACTTTGTGCTTGAAGATTCTAGGTCTGAATCCTAATTCTGATTTGTCTCTCTAATTTTGATTTGAAACTTCTATCTTATGCTTTTTCTGCTGGTTTTAAAATGGTATGCAGTCAGAGGCAGATTAAGTGTACATTGTGGGATGAGCATGTGGATCAACTAATTCCATACTTCAACTCAGTTGCTAAGGATCCAGTTATACTGTTGATTCAGCTCTGCAGAGCTAAATTCATGGACAGTGAGTTATATCTCTATTTACTTCTTCTATGTTTTTGGTTTATCCATTTCCCTCTATTTTACATTAATAGGAATAGTTATTAGTAATTACTAATGGGTAAACTAAATGCAAACTGGCTCTGAATATTAAAAAAAAAAAAAAAAACAGACAAACACATGAGACTGTTGCACTCATTAGTAAACAACAATTAATAAACAGTGATACATAAGTAAACAGTCATTTATAATATGCCCGAAATAGTCAGAAATAAACAATTTAGAATAAATAGGCAAAACTGGTCATTTTGCAATCAAAATTATGTCCTATTCACTACTTTTATTTTTCAGATGGTGAAGTGCGCATTTGCAGTTCATTTGATGCTACTCAACTGTTTTTCACACACTCATGCAAAGAATTCCGTGAGTTAAGGAGCAGGTTAGTTTTTCCTCTAATCTATTTTTAGTGTTCTGCTTAATAACTCAGTTGTGTGTTACTAATTTTTATTTACATGTTCTTTATTATTAGCTTTACCAGTAATCATACACCTTTACGGTGTATAGATTCTGAAACCAGATTGTTTGATGGTAGTTTTGGCATTGCTGTGCATCCTAAAAATGTGGTAGTCAGTTCTATTCAAGATATATACTCTAAAAAACAGGTAATCTGATCTCTTCTTCTTTTTTTTTTTTTTTTTTTTCTCTCTCTACTGGCCTTTTTTTCCTACTTTATTTATTTAACTCAATCTTACTTGCAACTAGGGGAGTATTGGGTGGCAGGTATAATTGTTGATGTAGAGAGTTTAAGTGACGGGTATTACATTTCTTGCAAGAGTAATTCTTGCAAGAAAAAGCTTGCTTCTGATGGTGGTATGATGTATTGTGCTGGGTGTAAGAGTTCTTGGCATGAGGGAGTTGTGAGGTATAGGCTTATTGTCCGTGTTGCTGATCATACTGGTGATGCTCCTATGCTGATGTGGGATCGTGAATGTGCGGAATTGGTTGGTTTGTCAGCTGGTGAATTAAAGGCTAAGTATGCAGTGGTAGGTATTTCTATGTCACATACCTATGTGCTTAAATGGTGAAAATTCACTAAATAGGCTGTGCATGTGTTTTCTGTTTTTAAAACTTTGTAGGGGAATGACTGTATTCCATCTGAGTTAGGGTGTTTGCGTGGCATGTCAATGCTGTTTCTGATTGCTATGAAGAAAGAGCAGGTTGAGAGTTACTATTCCGCATTCACAGTACTTAGGATTTGCAGGGATGAAGCATCTCTTACACAGTACTGCTCGAGTCTATCAGTTGGCATTTCACAACCAACCATTGGTCCAGGTGATGTAGGTGGTTTTCTAGATGAGGAAGATGATGGTGATTTCAGTTCTGAGGTATATTCTTCTATCATTGTTTGGTTAACTTTGCCACTATGGTCTTATTCATTGGCCCTAATGTTATTTCCTACAGGAATGCTTTGGTACTGATAATGAAGAATGTGTTGAGCTGGATGGTGGTTCTCAGGGTGTCAATGTGGAAAAGTTTCGTGGCTTAGATGACATTGAACCTGGTGTAGGTGTTAGTGGTGCTGTTTTGCCTCTTAAGAGGAATCTATTTAAAGACTTTGTGGATGTTGGGGCTTCAAAGAAGGCTAAGGAAGTGGTGGTTAAGGAAGAAAAGTAATAGGTTATTCTATCTTTTTAAATGTAATGTAGAAGTACTAAGTGTTGACTGGTTGCTGTTTTTTGCTATTCCTTTTTGGTGTTTAAGGCTAGAAAATTGCTTAAGCTACAATGTACTCTTAGAAAATAAATATAGTTTTTTTTTCCTATTTTGTGATTGCTCTTTTGGAAGCTGTATTAGCAAGAGTACCTAATGTACTTATCCTTAGTAGTAGTCAGTAAGATCTTTGTAATCTACTTAGTTTTCTAATGTAAAATTACCTACTTATGATTAGAAGCTAATAATTGCAGTTAACCTATACAGTGAGAAGTATTCAAATAAATAATCCAAACACATAATGGAGCTTTGCATCAAAGTATACAAGTAATCGAATCTGGAAAGGAAAAAGAATTGTAATGTTTTTTAAAAAGAGTTCTATAAACAAAAATAAAAAACAATATTGGAAAATTATATATACATACAGTTGTTCACAAGTAATTGGGAAAAAAAGTATCAAATACTTTTTTTTCTTATAAAATTTAATGTTTAATTTCAAATAGTTAGTAGGAGTACATCTAAAAAAAAAAATTTAAAATTTGTCTAGCAATAATTCCATTTGTCTAGAATCCAGAAATTTATAATTCCATTTTTCTTGCAATGCTTCAAATAAATGCTTCAAATTATTTAGAACACATTTTCAAAATACTAATGTCCTTCCAAAGTAAATTTCTGGAAATATATTTATAATCATAATCATATATATTTAATAAATGAACTTTTGAACACTTTTCACTGCAAAGTCCTAATAAAATTGCTAAAATATATCAAGTAGTAGTATAAAAGAATTTGATTTTTGTCAATATAAAACAATGGCATCAGATTCCTTTTTTTTTCATCATTTGCCTCTATTTTAAAAGCATTAGAATTAGTATTGGGTAAAATAAATGAGAACTGTCTCAAAAAAAAAAAAAAAAAAAAAAAAAAAAAAAACAAACAAACAAACAAACAAACAAACAAACACATATAAAATTTTCAGTCAAATTCAAGGTGCATAATACTCAATACATACAGGTACAAATTGTTTTTAAATACACCTATAGCTTCTATCAAGCATTAATTGTTGATTGTAAGGTTTGACTATGTAACTATTTGTTGATAGCGACTTCTTTTCATCTCTATTCAATTTCTTAACTGCCTCTTAAGATGTCTCTATTTAAAGACTTTGGGGATGTTGGGACTTCAAAGAAGGCTAAGGAAGTGGTGGTTAAGGAATAAAAGTAATAGGTTATTCTATTTTTTTAAATGTAATGTAGAAGTACTAAGTGTTGACTGGCTGCTGTTTTTTGCTATTCCTTTTTGGTGTTTAAGGCTAGAAAATTGCTTAAGCTACAATGTACTCTTAGAAAATAGATATAGTCTATTTTCCTATTTTGTGATTGCTCTTTTGGAAGCTGTATTAGCAAGAGTACCTAATGTACACACCATTGAGGTATTTGAGAAGTATTCAAATAAATAATCCAAACACATAATGGAGTTTTGCATCAAAGTATACAAGTAATCGAATCTGGAAAGGAAAGAGAATTGTAATGTTTTTAAAAAAGGGCTCTATAAAGAAAAAAACAATATTGAAAAATTATATATACATACAGTTGTTCACAAGTAATTGGGAAAAAAGTATCAAATACGTTTTTTTCTTATAAAATTTAATGTTTAATTTCAAATAGTTAGTAGGAGTACATCTAAAATAAAAAAAAAAAAATTAAAATTTGTCTAGCAATAATTTCATTTGTCTAGAATCCAGAAATTTATAATTCCATTTTTCTTGCAATGCTTCAAATAAATGCTTCAAATTATTTATAACACATTTTCAAAATACTAATGCCCTTCCAAAGTAAATTTCTGGAAATATATTTATAATCATAATCATATATATTTATATTTAATAAATGAACTTTTGAATACTTTTCACTGCAAAGTCCTAATAAAATTGCTAAATATATCAAGTAGTAGTATAAAAGAATTTGATTGTTGTCAATATAAAACAATGGCATCAGATTCCTTTTTTCATCATTTGCCTCTATTTTAAAAGCATTAGTAATTAGTATTGGGTAAAATAAATGAGAACTGTCTCAAAACAAAAAAAACAAAAAAAAACAAAAAAAAAAAAAACAAAAAACAAACAAACACATATAAAATTTTCAGTCAAATTCAAGATGCACAATACTCAATACATACAGGTACAAATTGTTTTTAAATACACCTATAGCTTCTATCAAGCTTAATTGTTGATTGTAAGGTTTGGCTATGTAACTATTTGTTGATAGCGACTTCTTTTCATCTCTATTCAATTTCCTAACTATATATGCATAGCATTTAAACAGAGCATCTACATGCATTCAATTCATTCACTACCCAAATTTTGCAGGTCTCCAACAAACTATTGCAACAATAATGAAAAAATTGAAAGGATCAACTACCATATGTGGAAAAAGAAAATTGCAGGAAGAAAGTAAAGGTATTATTTTAACATACATGTTTTCCTTTTTTGTAAGTTTAGCAAATAAATTAAGACCTGCAAAACTTTGCCTCAACTTTTCTGCTTTTATGTTCCGATCTGCAATATAAATTGTAGTTCTTTATATGTATGTGCTGAAACATACTCAGTTTCTATATATATGTAAAGCAATTAAGGTAAACATGTCCAGAGTCACTTAATAATTATATTGTCAACTAATCAGATAATAAAGCAATTATAACAAATTAGTTAACACGAATTGGCTATCAGCACCCGTCCACACTGGTAATATAAGCTAAAAAAGCTAAGCTGATTTACCTACATAACAATTTCTTTCACATTCATACTTTTTGTATTCCAAAATGAAGAACAAGTAGATTCACGATGCTCATTAGTCATCACGATTCAAATACACAAATTAAACATGCTACAGGGGATTTGGACAACTATCAAACCAATAACAACAACAAAGTTCTTAATTAAAGTCTGAAAACAAAAACGGAAGTTGTTAAAATTGTGTTTTACCTTACTGATACTGACGATCGTAGCTGATTCTTGCTCTCTGTGGTATGAATTTCGCCTTTGGTGTTCGGTGTAGTAGAAGTCGACGATTTGGAGTATATAGGTTTTTGGTTTTGGTAATTCCGGTATGCATGTTGAACTGAGTAGTATAAATGATTGATTTTTGTGTTTATGGAGGGTAGTATTGTAGAAGATGAGAGTCGGAGAAGACAGATCGCGAAGCTTTCTGTTTGTTATAAACCAGAGCTTTCTGATCGACGATTTGTAGGCTAGAGTTTTCGATGTTCAATGTTTGGGCCCTTTAGTCTGTGGGTTCTGGCCAACGGTAAGGACTCAAAGGGGGAAGACGGAAAGCTTGGTTGATAATGGTGATGGGGTGTTAGATTTGAACTGGAGTTTCTAGAATGAGAAATGTGATAGAGAGAAGGGAAGCCGGAGGTGAATGCGCTTACCATCTACGCTTGCATTTTAATTTTTTTTTATTTAAAATTATTTATTAATGACTTTGTTATAATTGTTGGGTTTTATAATAAATACAATAATACCAATGGAAAAACTTATTTAAATACATTTAGCCATGACCTTTTTTGGGTGTATTTAAATGGTGTTATTGTGTAATTAAATTTAGATTTATTTGTAATGTGTTGATGTCAACATTATGTTGTTGTAAATTGAATATATTTATTTCTGCGTGTTCTTTTTATTGAATATGTATATATGATTTTGTGTATTTTATTGAATTTTAAAATCAAAATTGTTTAAAGCTTTCCGTATAATTTTTTTATATTATTGTAATCATATGTATATGTAATAAATAGTAAAAAACTAAGTATTAGAATGATAATTAAACGAATTTAAGTTAACACTTAGTTTATTATATCCATAAATGTTATGATTAGAATATTGTGACCATATATATTAATATCTACTAATTTTGTGAAATTTATATTCTGGAAGTCTGATGTTAAAATTTTAAAGATTAAATTGAAATTATATACAAGATATATCATATATAATTTTAACATTTATGGGTCATAAATTTAATAGAGTCAAATTTAAATTAATAATTATGCAAAGTAATTTATTGTTTAAATTTGTTTCTATTGAGCTTTAAGTTTGTCAATATATATACTTATATATATATATATATATATATATATATATATATATATATATATGTATGTATGTATGTATGTATGTATGTATGTATGTATGTATGTATGTATGTATGTATGTATGTATGTATGTATTTATTTATTTATTTATTTATTTATATGTGTGTGTGAGAGAGACTCTAAAATAAATGAATTTAATAATTTAGTTCAATTAGTTTAAAATATTTATTCCTTCAATGGGTCTAATCAATATTATATTATTAGGTGCTTATTTGTTTTTTTTTTTTTTTTTTTTGGTTCATTATTCTGTTGATTTGTATATCTTAATTATTTATTAATTGATTTATTCTATTGTAGAGTTGTATATTGACCTTGGAGATCCGATTTTTAAGTGTACTCATTGTAGTGCATTTTTTTGGTCGGAAGAGAGATTGAAGAAGGTAAAAGTGAATGGTGGCCCGAGAGATTCAGTTTGTTGCTCTAATGGAAAAATTAAGTTGCCGATGTTGAATGCTTCACCAAAAATAATTCTTGACTTATTTTTCAAACCGTGTGCACGAAGCAAGCATTTTTTGCAGCATATAAGATCGTATAATAACATGTTTAGCTTCACATCTATGGGAGGTCGTATTGACAAAGAAGTGAATACAGGGAGGGCGCCTCCAATTTTTAGGTTGAATGGACAAAATTTTCATTTGTTGGGTAGTTTGTTACCTATTGAAGGAAATCGACCTAAATTTGCACAATTATACATTCATGACCCTGAAAATGAGATGTGTAATCGATTGAACTCTGTCAGGTATATTATGTCTTATTAATAAATATTATTTCTTTTAATTATACAAACATAATTATAAAGTGATATCGATATATTTTGAATTTTAGGGGGAATAATGATCTCAGCAAACTAGATGAAGATATTGTTGCTGACCTTCAATTAACATTGGATGAAAATAATGTTTTGGTAAAATCATTCCGGATGGCTCGCGATGTAATAGTTACCAATCCGACTGTGCAAGTTAGGATGAAATTGATAGGGAAGCGTAACCAAGATGCCAAAACATATAATTTGCCAACAGTGTCAGAGGTTGCAGCTATCATTGTTGGTGATCTGGATCCCACGTCGGGTCAGCGAGATATATTGATAGAAACAAGATCGGGTGTGCTAAAAAGAATTAGTGAGCTTAATCCAGCATATCTCCCTCTTCATTATCCAATTCTGTTTCCATATGGTGAAAATGGTTATAGAGAAGATATTCCTTTTAATGTTGAACAAAATATTCATACAGGAAGAAGGCATAGTATTTCTCTTCGTGAATACCTATCATTTCGTATTCATGAACGATGTGGTGAGATTTCAACATTTCTATTTGCGAAAAGATTGTTCCAACAATTTTTAGTCGATGGGTATACGATGGTGGAATCTGGGAGATTGTTGTATGTCCATATGCATCAACAGAGTCTGTGTTGTGGATCTTATAGAGGTTTGTTTGACGCATTGACTCGTGGGGAAATTGAACCTGGAACTCAAGGTCGACGAATTGTTTTACCTTCTAGCTTTACGGGTGGTGCACGGTATATGGTTCAAAATTATCAAGATGCAATGGCAATTTGTGCTTGGATTGGTTATCCAAATTTATTCATTACATTTACATGTAATCCAAAATGGCCAGAAATACAACGCTTTTTAGAGCAAAGGCTATTAAAACCATAAGACCGGCCCGATATTCTGTGCCGCGTTTTTAAAATGAAATTGGATTGCTTAATAAGAGAGCTTCGTTCAGGAACTGTTTTCGGTAAAATTTTGGCAGGTCTGTAATCTACAATCCGCTAGCGATGTGTTAACTTTTCTATTCACTTTCTTATCTTTCCGCTTTTGTTTGCAGTGATTTATACTGTTGAATTTCAGAAGCGCGGGTTACCACATGCACACATACTATTGTTCCTTGATCGTGTTGATGCTAACGCGCTCAGTGATAATATCGATTCCATTATTTCAGCCGAGATTCCAAGTATGGATGATGATTTAGAATATTACCAAGCTGTTGAGGAGTTTATGATACACGGTCCATGTGGTGTTGCCAACAAAAAATCTCCGTGCATGGTTAAAGACCGTTGTTCAAAACACTTCCCAAAGAAATTTATGGAATCTTCAGTTATTGATTCCAGTGGTTACCCTATTTACAGGCGTAAGGATGATGACAGGACAATTATGAAAAGTGGTGTTGAGCTGGATAATAGATTTGTTGTGCCCCACAATAGATATTTGCTGCTGAAGTATAGAGCACACATTAATGTTGAGTGGTGTAGTCAATCTCAGTCAATAAAATATTTGTTTAAATATGTCAACAAAGGCAATGACCGAGTTACTGCCCAGTTTTATAAGAGCACTAATTCTGAAGATAGTAGTGAAGTTATTGATGAGATTAATATGTATTATGATTGCCGATATATTTCTCCGTGTGAAGCTGTGTAGCGTTTGTTCAGCTATGACATCCAGTTCCGTAATCCCTCTGTAGAACAGTTAAGCTTCCATCTGCCGAATGAACAAAGCATTGTTTTTTATGATGACTTATCTATTGAGAATGTGCTTGAAAGACAAACAATTAAGAGTAGTATGTTTTTAGCATGGTTTGAAGCTAATAAGAGGTATCCCCGAGCTAGGGAATTGACCTATAGAGAAATGCCTCATTATTTTGTGTGGAAAAGAAAAGAACGTGAATGGCAACCAAGAAGATGTGGTTTTGCTATAGGCCGTATGTTTTATGTGCCACCTGGTACTGGTGAGATCTTCTATCTTAGGTGTTTATTGAATTTAGTTCGTGGTCCAATATCTTTTGAAGAGATTCGCAATGTTGATGGGATTCAATATTCATGTTTCCGTGATGCGTGTTATGCTCGTGGTTTGATTTGTGATGAGAAGAAATATGTTGATGCAATACTTGAAGCAAGCCATTGGTCCACTGCCTCAGCTCTTCGCCGTTTATTCGAGACTTTGTTAACGTCTAATTGTTTACGCCAACCTGAAAAAATTTGGGATGTTGTTTGGCCACTTCTGTGTGAGGATGCAGAGTTCAATCAGCGACAAGAGTTACAAAATCCAGGTAAGTTTGTATTCACGAAATGCCTAATTAACACTATAAAAAAACGCGAATATAGCGATGGCTTTAGCGACGGACATGTTCCGTTGCTAACCTAGTGGTTAGCAACGAATTAGTGACAGATTTTAAATTTTTTGTTAAATGAAACTCTAGCAACGGCCTAGCGACGGATTTTGCGACGAAAAATTTCCGTCGTTAAATACGTATCTAATTTTAGCGGTAAATTTTGGTGCGAAAATTAAAGACAGATTAGTGACGGATTAGCGACGAAATTTTCGCGGTCTTACTTGATTATTTTAATTGCTACAACCTTGCGACGGATATGGAATCCGTCGCTAGATATTACAACATCAATGTGGTTTTTGTTTATATTGTAGCGATAGATATACATATCCGTAGCTATCTTTAGCGACAGATTTATATTTCCGTAGCTAGTTAGCGACGGATATGTATATCCGTCGCTAGATTTATGACGCGCGAATTTCGTAAAATATTATAACGACGGAAGTTGATGTCCGTCGCTAATTTTAGTTAAGGATTTTAACATTTATAAGCTAGCGACAGATATGTTTCCGTCGCTAAGCTTATCCAGTGAATTTTAACATACATAAACTAGCTACGGATCATATTCCGTCGCTAAGCTATTGGATCTTAACATATATAAGCTAGCGACGGATCAGATTCCGTCGCTAAACTTATTCAGTAAATTTGACATGGAAAAGTTAGCGACGGATCACATTCCGTAGCTAATATTAGTTATCGGTATCATATATATATATATATATATATATATATATATATATATATATATATATATATATATATATATATATATATATATATATATATATAGAGAGAGAGAGAGAGAGAGAGAGACGGATAGGTGTCCGTCACTAAGATTATTTATTTGATTTTAAAGTATATATCTAGCAACGGATATTCGTCCGTCGCTAAGGATATTTACTAAGATTTTAACATATGTAATGTAATTATCGCTCAGAGCCCTAGCTACCGGCCTCTTGCATTCGACGGCCTCTTGCTAACAAATTCACCGCTCAGAGCTCTAGCCCTACTCTACCGCCCATCGCCGTTAGTTTCCTCCGACCGCCGACCGCTCGCTGCCTCCAACCGCCAACCGCTCGCTGCCTCTCACTGCCGACCACTCGCTGGGTGTGGAGCGTCTCCGGCGGTTCTGTCTTCTCCCTCCGTACCGGGTGTGGAGCTTCTCCGGCGTTCTCCTATCTCCGGCGTTCCATTTGTCCAGGTAAATCCCAATGTCGAGAGAACAACAAATTTATACCCTTTTGCTCACCAATTTCTAAACGCCATTGAAATACAGAAATGGAGTTCGACAATTAAATGTGCTTTCGTTTCTTTTGGTCGTTGCTTTTCCATTTCTTTCTGATATAAAATAGGTCGGGTCTTCGTTGTTCTGAGTATTTAAAGCGTATTTATTTATCTTACTCTGAAAGCCAAGTATTGAATTAGGCCTAATTGCAATTTTTAATAGTATTATGATGTTGAAAGATATGAATTCAAGGGAGATTAACCAACGAGATTGTTGTAGATAGGAGTAGAAAACAAGGGAGATTGTGGTGACTTTTGTTGACCAATTCAAGGTGAGCAGGTTTGGTGTTCTGAATCTGTATAATAATGGGCAGAGTTAGAATACAGAGTTAGAATCTGTATTTGGATAATTTTTAGATTCTAACTTTAAGCTATATTGTCTCTTCTGGATAGAATACAGGTAGGGCTTGTTTAACTAGAGACTTTTCTGAAAAGCCTCTAGGCCCTCTGCTATGAAACTTTGCCTCTAATTCGGTTTTAAAAGTCATTTTCGCTTTATTATGCAGCACACAGTTATCTTGTTGGTACAAAATTGTGTCAAGATCAGATCAGAACTATTATTTACAAGTTAATCATTTTAGAAGTTAATCAGATCAGATCACTATTATTTACATCATCTAAACAAAGTTTGTTATTTTAGAGTTTGAGGCCATGTGTTTATGGGGAAATAAATACTGGGCTGTTGTGTGTTGTGATCGAGACATGCACAGTTGTTTATTTCTTTCAAAATCAAGAGAATTGAGTGGAGAGAGAGAGAGAGAAGGTGAAGGGTGGGTGGTGTGATGGTAATGTTCCCAGTCTCCTATACAAGGACTGATACTTTATTTTCTTTTCATACATATGGAGTTTCTAATCTTCTACTAATTTTGATTTAACAATATTTAAAACTATTTTCTAGAAGGGACGGTCCAATAAATAGAGTATGATTCTCGTTGTAAAATATTATATGTTCGATTCTTGTTATTATCATCTCAATTGAGCTTGTTGTATACCGTCTCTTTAATGTAATTTGTTAATTATTTCTTTACTAGGATTTCTTGAGAATCCATTGTGTGATAATATATATATATATATATATATATATATATATATATATATATATATATATATATATATATATATATATATATATATATATATATATATATATATATATTTGATTTGATAAAGTGAAGTGTTTAACAGTATGGTGCAAGATGTCACTGGTCTGTCCACTCAAAACTCAGTTTATCACTTGTTAGCTCAAAAACACCTAGAAAGAGATGTGCAATAAATACATAACCTTTGAAATATAGGTAAGAAAAGTTCTTTGCAGGTCATTCAACTGGCGATCTGTAATCAAACAAGTCCTTTATAAAAAAATTAATATATATCGATTATATTGCACATAACAGATTGTTTAGAGCAGTAAACCTGGAAAAAAAAATCATATTTCAACACTGAATATTGAAGGAGAAGCAAAAGTAAGATCAGTCAAAACAAGGAAATGCAAAGGCCAGAAATATGAAGTCAAATGGAGCATTGTGATTGATTTTCAATTTGAATAGTTTATAACAAATGGCAAAGGGTCTGTCCCTTTGCCAACAATATCATGAGAGCCTCTAGCTGTTCTTGGCTGTATATATCCATCCTAAGGGGGGGGTGGGGGGCACCCTTAGGGTGGAGTGTAGGGTTGAAGCAATTGCTTGTTCATATTTCATGATTTGATTTGATTGTTGTTAGAGATGGGTTGGAGAAAATAGAATAGAATAGATGGTTGGTGTAGTGGGGGGCTTTTAGGCTTTGGGTAGAAAGAGAGATTTAAGAGGGGATCTGTTTTGGTTTTTGTCTGATTCTCTTCATTAGTTTGCGCACCTTCAAAAAGAACAGTGCTGTCAACTTTACTGGAAGAATGTTAAAAAAGAATAAAGATTATATACATGAATGTATTTTAAAAAATTTCTTATAACTGGTACATTTTGGAACACATTGGTTGGTTTCACTTCCTAGATGATGATGATAATAATGGATTGATATATGAGAGTCACTTCTGATATCTGGATCCGATGATATGAGAGTATGATTATTTACTTGAATATTTTGCAGACTCAATTATTTACTTGAATCTGCAGGAACCCGAACTTGTTTAAGTTGCAGAGGATAATTATTATTCATCATCAAAAGAGAAGAGAAAGAAGAAATTAAAAAGGTTTGTTGTCTGTTTTGTCTGCATTTTACCTTTGTTCTTTATTTGCCGGATAAACCGCCCGTGGGTACCAGTACCGGATAAACTACAAGCTGAAATAACTCAAATGCAGGTTCAAATGCAAGCTGAAAGAACTCAAATGCAAGTTTAAATGCAAGCTCAAATTGCAAGTTTGATGGATGAGTTGCGTCGCAATGGCATGTTATCCAATCTAAGTACTCAAGCTCAACATTCGGCTAATTCAAATGATGAAACCTTAGGAGATGATTAGATTATATTTATTAGTATATTTGATACTGGTTCTAATGATGTAACATAATACTACTATACATTGTTGTTGTTATTCACTTTGAATGTTATAATATAAATATATTTTATAATTATATTATTCAAGTACTATATTATAGGCTTAATGCATGTTTTTTATATTAATTAGTGGGTACAATTGTTTTATTAATTTTCAAAATTTAGGGACGGACAAATACGATAGTAAGGTAACGAAATAGCAACCAAAAAATTCGTAGTTAAATTTAGCGACGGATATTTTTGTCACTAAGTTGTAGTTAAATCACATTCAATTCAAATAATAATAAAATATTAGCGACGGATAATTTCCGTCGTTATATTAACGATGGACGGTAGTGACGGTCATGTCCGTCGCTATATTTAGCGACGGCAAACTCCGTAGCTAAGTCGTTGCAAATCTCGTCGCCGGAGCATAGTAGTAGCACTTTAACGACGAAATTGTTGTTGCTTTAGCGACGGCATATCCGTCGCTACTTATGGCGACGGACTATTCCATCATTATTCGCTCGCAATAATCGTCTTCGGATCCGTCGTCGAAAGGCATTTAGCGATGGATATATTTCGGCTAGCGACGGAGCATTCCGTCGCTAAGTCTAGCGACGGAAAAAAATTGTCTCGCTAACTTTTAGCGAGGAGGGTTTTTGTGACAGACGGATTCCGTCGCTAATCCGTCGCTAAATACTTTAGCGACGGATTTTCACTATTTAGCGACGGAATTCGTCCGTCGCTATTCTTGTGTTTTTTTTGTAGTGTAAACTATCTATTGTATGATATAATTATTGATTATAACATTTTTATACTACTAAACATTAATATTAGTTTCAAAATTATATATAGATTTATTATTACCAGATGATGTGAAGAAGGAGTATGGTCTGCTTGAATTAGAGAAACTTTTGTCGACATGGAGTAAGAGTTTGGGGGATTACCCGTGTATGCCCGTTCCTGAATTGTCTAGCTTGGCTAATTCTCATAATCGATTACTGTTAGAAGAATTGTCATATGATTGTGCATTGCTGAGCAATGAACATGATGACATGGTAGCAAAGTTAACTACCGAGCAGAGAGATGTTTACGACACAGTTATCGGAGCTGTTTCTGGTACAACAGGTGGTTTGTTTTTTGTTTACGGTTATGGAGGTACTGGGAAGACATTTGTGTGGCGCACTTTGTCGGCTGCACTTCGATCACAGCGCAAGATAGTTCTAAATGTGGCATCCAGTGGTATTGCATCATTATTAATGACTAGAGGGCGCACTGCGCATTCACGATTTGCAATACTGATTATTGTGAATGAGGATTCCACGTGTAATATATCACAGGGGAGTGATTTAGCTGAACTGATTATCAAATGTAGTTTAATTATTTGGGATGAAGCTCCTATGATGCATAAACACTGTTTTGAAGCATTAGATAGAACCATGCGAGATTTGTTACGATTTACAAATCCATTGTGTCCTAATTTACCATTTGGAGGGAAGACTGTTGTACTAGGAGGTGATTTCCGCCAAATATTGCCAGTGATACCAAGGGGTGGTAGACAGGATATTGTTGGTGCTGCTATTAATTCTTCGTATTTGTGGGCTCATTGTACGGTTTTGAGATTGACACAGAATTTGAGATTGCAGAGTGTTGGTACTGATGATGAAAGGCAAGAGTTATCTACTTTTGCTAATTGGATTGCTTCAATCGGTGATGGTGAAGCTGGTGGACCAAATGATGCATGGTGACGTAGAGGTTTCCATTCCACATGAGAATTTGTTGCATACAAATGGTGATCCAATCCAAGGAATTGTGGAAAGTACATTTCCTATGTTTCGAGAACATCAACATGACGCTGATTATTTAATTAGTCGAGCAATTTTGGCACCAACTCTTGAAGTTGTAGACGAAGTTAATGCGTACATGACCAACTTGAATGTTGCCGAGTGTAGGACCTATTTTAGTTCCGATTCGGTCTGCCCCACTGAGAGTACCTCTGATGTTGTGGCTGGGTTACACACTCCGGAGTTATTGAACGGGCTAAAATGTTCTGGGTTACCAAATCATTGCTTAACATTGAAGATTAGGTCTCCTGCTATGTTGTTGCGAAATATTGACCCTTCAGCTGGGTTTTGTAATGGTACACGGTTAATTATTACAAGATTAGCAGACCACGTTGTTGAAGCAAAGCTCTTATTTGGCAATGCAGCAGGCTCCAAAGTTCTGATCCCACGTCTGTCCCTAACACCATCTGACAGTACATTGCCCTTCAAATTTCAAAGGAGGCAGTTCCCGCTTATGCTGTCCTATGCAATGACAATAAATAAAAGTCAAGGACAAACGCTTTCTACTGTTGGCCTACTTCTAAGAAAACCTGTTTTTGTACATGGCCAGCTATATGTTGCATTGTCTAGAGTCAGTTCACCAAGAGGGCTTAAGTTACTCATTTGCAACGAAGATGAAAAGTGTGCTTCTTCAACGATTAATGTTGTGTACAAAGAAGTGTTTAATAATTTATAACAACTATATATTATTAAATCTTTGTTATAAATTGCATATTATTTGGGTGATCTTACTAATTATTTACTATTTTTGCAATCGTATATGTACAATTATGTGTAACTATATACCAGTATATATATATATATATATATATATATATATATATATATATATATATATATATATATATATATATATATTATTTAACTATTTATGAATTTCTTTATTTATTTTCATACCGTGCAACACACGGGTGGAGTACTAGTTATTATTAAAAGTTGATACTTTGGATCTTCTAATCAATATCGAGAGTCAACAAATTAAACCTACACACAACTGGGAGGGTACTGTCTCCCATAAGATCTGCCAATTACATTCGAACATTCCGAAATCGCCGGCCCTCCTCGGCCATGGTACCTCAAGTTGATCTTGTTGAGGATAATGTTCTGACATGGCTCCCTTGCACTACACTCCAAGGCCACCGCCACCTTTGAAGACGACGTCCCCCAGATGTTGTAAAATGTCACGCCTTTTATCTTAACAAGTGACGACTGTTCCCCCTCTCATTCAAAAATAAAAGTATATTAATATTTTTTTAGTTACAAGAAAAACCCACAATCGCTGCTCAAGCGTGTGTGCAGTACAAAATAAATTTTGCATCTCTTGAATTGTAATAAACCAGTTTAAGTTGTCCACAACTGACCCGCTCAAACCAAGAAAGCCAATAGGCCACCCAGTTATGAGTTAAACTTGTAAAAAAAAAAGATATTTTCTTTTTGCTAGACCACAAGGTATCTGAGTATGTCATAACGGTAAGAGGTACCTTTAAATCCATACCATACTCAGATTAATCCCGATTCACATTTGGCCAATGTTGAAAAAATCGCTAGGCGCGATTTTTGCAACATTGCATTTGGCTGATCCAATTAAGAGGCAAAGTACTGATCAGATTGGTTTTTTTCATACAAAATTGAATTTGAAATCCCAACCTCTTTCAAGAGATGAGAGTCACGGTCACTCGAGCCAATCAAGTTGTAGATTATTAATTAGATAGATATAGAATGGTAATTGGACTTACGAAATCGCTGCAATGAGAAAGGCCGGGGCAGTAGGTTTGATCAATGAGGATGGGGTTGTTGACATTCTGCATAGAAATGTAACCAAAGAATACATTGGAAACCGTTCCGGGCACGGAACCGGCGGCCCAGGTTTTGATCCTGACACCGTTTTGCGTGCCGATGAAAGTGCAGTTGATGACTTTAACGTCGGAGACAAAGTCTCCTCGGGACCTGCCGAGGCTGCCGATGCTGATGCCGTGGCCGGGGCCGCAGGTGACTTTGCGGACGAGGATGTTTTTGGAGCCGGTGACCATGGCGACGCAGTCGTCGCCGGTTTGGATGACGGAAGTGGAGATCTTGATGTGGGTGGAAGCTCCGATGCGGATTCCGTCGGTGTTGGGGCTGTCGCCGGGGGAGGTTAGCCTTATGCGGCTGATGTTTACGTTGTGGCATGCGAACAAGTTGATATGGGTGTTCTTGCTGTTTATTGATCTCAAATGATTTATTTTTGCCATCGTCACAAAGTCAAACCTCAATGTCTAAAAAAACAAAAAATGACAAGTTATATATAACAAATGATACAATAATAATGTAGTATTCAACTTCACACAAGAAAAATTATATTTTTCATCATTCAGTTATACCAATGATACAAATTTAATCGCGTGACCATCTTTTAACCCTAACTCACTAACTTGCGATTTTAGTCGTTCAAGGGATTATTTTCACCACTAATTTGTCACTTAATAAAGTGACTGATTTGGTCATTTTAAGGACTAAAGTCGACATTCAATGCAGATTAAGATGGTTAAGCGTATAACTTAAAGACTAAATTTATACCACGGGTATAGTTAGATTACTAAAAATGCAATTTTTCCAGTTTTGAATTGTGAAAAATATTGTAAGAAAGAAAAAAATAGTGAACTTACAACGGGAAGTGGAGAGCAATTGGGATTGGTGGAGCAATCATTATAGGGCCAAGCAGCAAGGCCTTGGCCATCCAAATAGCCACCGCCGTTCACCGACAACCTATCCACATATCGGAACCCTAGCCACGTGTTCATGTTCATGAACTCTCCGGGATTTGTCGGAGCCTTAACAACTCCTTTGATTACAAACGCAATTGGCCCCCGACACGGCCCCAAAAACGTCGTCGACCAAATCTTGAATGTCCCTTTTGGTATCAAAACCCTACTCTTTCCAGGGTATCTACATGCATCCTCCCACGCCTTCAAAAATGCCTAAATTACAACTAAATCATGTTAGAATTTAGATAAAGATCCTATATATATTTTCTCAAACTATTGAAATAGAAATAGTTAAATATCTTTACTGAGATTCGAACAAACATGTAACCTCCCATTTAAAAGAATCACAGCTATGTCGCTTGACCAAGACTTTCAAACCCAATTTTTTTTTTTGAAACAGACTTTCAAACCCAATTTGATCTCAATACATATACAAATTTTTAAACGCATACCAATCTAAAAGTCTAAAACTCAATAAACACACTTTGGGTCAATATCTATTTATCATATTAAACTTCTTATCTCTATTATTAAAAGAAAATGTAAAAATATCAATGTATTTTGGTTATCGTTGTAACTTTTATAATTGTAACTACACGTATTCTAATCATCATAATATTTTGCATAATTTATTAAATTACTTAAAAGTTAATACTTAATAAGAAATAATGGGTAGTAATTATAACTAAACGTTTTACCTTCTTTATATTTGAAAATCTTTTTTCAGAACAGGTATATTAACCATCATAATATTTTGCATAATTTATATTACTTAAATAAGAAAGATTGGGTAATAATTATAATTAAACGTTTTATCTTCTTTATACATCTGAAAATCTTACGTTACGAGGAAACAATGAAAACTACCAAAGTTTGTCACACCATCTATCTGCTACAGTAGTATTATATCATGGGTAAATAGTACGGAGTATTTAGTAAGGTACAAATAACACTCACAAATTTAAAAAAAAAAAAAAAAAAAAGATTGGATGATAGTTAAATACTACAAAAATAATTTTTATTTTTTATTTTAAAAAAAAAAGACAAAAAAAAAAATCAATAAGTTTAATAATCGAGATTTTTTTTTTTAAAGAAAAACATTTTTGAATAAATTATAGCTAGATCAAACACATAATTAATTGAATATTTCACCATTTATGCAGAGTTGATAAATTTATTTTTTTTATTTTTTTTCGAAAACAAAACATGATGTAAAGAAGAAAGGATTTTTTTTTTATGTAAAACAAAATATTAAAACAACAATATTTTCATGTGTATAACAATATGATATTAACATTCATAGGATTTTTGGTGTACCCCTCCTTTTGATCCAAAAAAAAAAAAAAACATTCATAGGATTTTTATTTTTTTTTGAAATAATAGCTACATTAATCTTCAACTAATTTAAAATCGAGTTATAAACTTACCGGACTATTCTCCGACTTTCCATCGGCAATAGCACCATAATCCAAGACATTGAAGTATTTCTGTGGCAGGTGACGTTTAGCACTGGCAATACTCAAGAAGAAGACGATGAACATAAAAACTGGGAAAATAACAGTGGGAGAAGAAGCCATTCCAATCTGTTATTATGCTTTCTACTTATCTGCAAGTGCGTATATATATAGAGAGAGAAGAAGAAGAAGAAGAAGAAGATTTTGATGTTGTCACCGTGATGTTTTCGTGTTGTCTGTCAAAAAAGAAAATAAAATTAAAGAAGAAATTGAAAGAAATCACATATATTTTCTTGATATTCTTCTTAATGTGTTCTGATTTAAGAAGAATTATATACCAGAATAGGAGGTAGGGAGAATTTTGGTGGATGCATATATGGTATATATGTTGCTCCAAATAGTATTAATGCCTGTTGGTATATCCTAATAAAGAAATGAATTAAATGATTGTCATTTTAAATTTAGAATTTAATATTTAATTTACATTTATTGGTCAATGTTTAAGGGGGCGTATTCAGTGATGAATTTTATAAACCTTTAAAGATTTTTATGAATTTTAAAAGTTTGGAATTGGAGGTATACAATTCAAACTTTTAGGAAGTCTTTAAAAGTTAAGGGGTATTTAATCAAGATTTTTAAAAGTCGGGTGGTATTTGATTAATTAAGATTTTTAACGAATCTTTAAGAATCACGCGGTATTCAAAAAGTTATGATTGTCACGGAGCTTATACATATTACGGAATTCGGCAAAATCACTTCTGATAAACGTCGTGCATTTTGAAATGTTAAAAATATGGTCATAATATGGTGGTGCCGACTGAAATTTATTTATTTATTTATTATTGAGTATTTTTAAATACAATTCTATATTTGTTTATTTAATTGTATATTTGTATTTGTGATTCGAAATTTTGTAAAATGTATAATATCAAATTGTGAGATTTATAATATAAATCAATTTGTGATAGATAACAAAATTTGATATTTATTCTTAGTTGAATAATTGTACTTATAATGTGTGTTAATTTGATAGATTTATAGTGTGTTATGCGTGATAATAAGTTTTTTAAATGATTGCTTTGTGTTATATTTTTAAATGCAATTTATATATAAAAAAAAAATTGTCAGATGAAATGAGATATTTTGAAATGTAATTTCAAAATATTGAATATTAAAAAAATATTATTATTCTGATTTATAATGTATTTTATATTTAACTAAACAGTTTTATCCTAATGATATTTGATATTTTGTTAGTAACCTTTTTTTTTTTTTTTTTACCGTATTTTGAATTGAATTGTTTTAATTTTGTCCCTGACATTATTCATGTCTTTGCTAATTCTATACATATTAGTTGGGAGAAGATGAATTAGTTGTTATTGGTTTAATTTGCATTGACCCTAGAATCTCACTAACTCTAATAGAGATTATATTCATAGATTTCCTCAAAAAAAAAAAAAAAAATCATAGATAATGAATACTGTATTTTATCCGTTTCAAAAAGATTCCTATTTGACCAACATACAAATTTAATAGAATATATTTAATATATTAACTAAGAATTATATGTCAATCATGTCCATCTCAAATGCATTGTAAATTATTTTCAGTTTTGCTCATAGAAAATGTAGGGTATATTGGATAATTAAGTTATAAATATTGTGGAATGGTTCCTTGAACCTCCCCCTTTCATTTGTAGCTCTCTCTTTTCTGATATTAATGCATAATTTCGTTGTTCTTCAAAAAAAAAAAAGTTATAAATATTGTAGTCATGAGTGAGAGAGAGAGAGAGAATTAAAAATGTAACATACCAGTACGTACGTTACAGAATTCAAAAGTTGCTGTGTCATAACATCTCAAATACAGTAGACATTAGCACACAAAAAAGAATTCAAACCAAATTTCTCATTAAATGGAAAAACAGATAAACGAAGTAACCGATAAACGACCCCATAGACTCTCACGCAATGATTCATAACAACAAACGTTATCTGTTATAACCCAAAGTAGTTACAGTTAGCGGATATGAACAAAAAAATTAATTGTTTATATCCTGATCATATATACTTTCTGGAAAATATTATAAACAAACACAATTTATAAATATAGCAGGAGTGCAGAAAAAAAACGTATATTTCATTTATGAAATTTTTTTGCTTATCTGTCGGGGGATTGCAGTCCTCAGCTAAAACATCTGTGCCTTGTGACCTCAATGAATATACGTCGTGAGGGAACCAAGATGAGCTTCATTTGATACCCGTTTTTCTCTGGATGATGCTTTCTACTCTGCAAATGTTAGGACATTTTTTCAAACAAGTGAAGCATGTAGATTGCCTGTTTGGTTAAGCTTATTTAATTTGATTATTGAGATTATGGATTAAATAATCCACTTTCTACAAGTTTGGCAAAGACTATGGATGATAGGCTTTACCAAACAGGAGCATAATGCTTAGCAAAATTCATGGAAATGGTAGGCAACAAGAAACTAAGGGGAAATAGTTGCTGGATTTGGTTGAAGATTACCTCTCTCTGACACGATGAACACTATCGAATATTTCCAGCAGTTGTTGTATCTTTGAATTTTCTAGTTTCTCCTTGCTTTCAATTACTAAGCCCGAAAATCTCAAAACAGTGACTAGTTCATCCTCAATTTCTTTCAACTTTAGATCAATATGTTCCAAGAAGTCCTCATATGAGGATATTCCCTTCAAGCTATCAACCCTGTCAGCTTCATTCCATGCGTTCCCACTACCCGATGCCTCCTCGTTATTATTCAACTTGTTATCAGCTTCAAGGTCTGCTACACTGTGATCGAGATATTGCAGTTCTTGATCATTACTAACTTCAACCGCATCCTGGACGTGGACTTGATTTTCGTCTGAATCATTACAATCTCTCTCTTTTGGAGAAACTATTCTAACAGCACTAGGAATATCTTCCGCTTCAATTTCAAGGTCTAAAGAAACATTTCCTATCAGCTGCGTCTCCCTCATAGTTATTGCCTTCAATGAGATTTTTTGTTTTCTAATTAGAAAACGGATACTAAAAGAATAAATTGGTAGGAAATAAATTTTTTAAATCCCCCCACTGCAGATGGAGAAGGGGAAAGAGGGAGAAAACCACTAAAGTTCATTATAGGTACAAAGTAGAACTTTAAACTGTTATATCATCACAAAGGATTGTGGATGTGTGCAATAGTTTGGAAATTTTAAAATTATGAAAAAATATTTATATAGAGTGATTATACGATGTTAAATCCTGGTAACTTCACAGTTTCAACAATGAGAACAACCAATCAGTAAATTGTACCTCGTTAAGTTTTGCAGCAAGCTCATCAAGCAATTCAATGCGATTCTTTGACTTCTCCATTGCTTGCATAACCTTCTTCTTTTGGATTAGCATCTCCCTGGCATCATCCTCCTTTCCAGATTGAACACTAATTGCGGCTTGCCTTCGAAGCTTATCTGCTGCTTCAGACAACCTTAGTAGCCTCAATCTTGCATTATTTGCTGAAGGAAAAAACAGCATGATGTCATGTGAGAAGCATTCCCACGTGAAAGAGCGCATGGGGTCTAGTTTCCACTTTCCACTTCCCACTCCAGAGTGCACATTTAAACAGAGATAGAAGCTTTTCATTTCAGCAGAAATACAAGTGATTCGGAGTACTGTTTAATAGATGCTTTTCGCAACATTATGACAGAAATTTGAATAAGGAGAAAGTAATTTGTATACACAAATTGCAAGATATAGCATTTTCATCGCCCCAAGCATACAGATTACAGACTCACAAGTCACAATCCTCTCTGAGCTTTCTAAGAACCCATTCAGACAATTTTACAAACACATGATAAGCAAGTAAAACTCAACAAGAAAGATATGAACTTTATTCGAAGTTCGGGGAAACCCAAAATCCGCTAAAACTTGAGATAGCGAAACAAAGCAAGAACATCAAGAATTCAGAAAAATCTGGAAGAGTGTGGGGTTAAGTACCTTTGGCCCTTGTCTTGTCGGCTTCCTTGTGAAGATGATCCAACTGTTCCCGGAGCTGGTCTGTGTTGAGGGTTTTAGAAGAAGCGAAGCACGCTGTGGTGGTTGGAACAAGTAGAGGCCTCCATTGAAGAAATGCAGGAGAAGTCCAATTCAGAATCATAATCCTATTTGCTGAAATGTGTAGACAATTGGATTAGCCGATTAGGTCAGAGTTGGGACTTCGGAGTTCGGAAACGACACTGAAGACTAAAGATTGAGAACTGGTAAGTGTCAAGTCAGAACCGCGCTCTTCATCTGTGGGTCGGTCAGTTTGGTTAATAACCGAAATTTTAACCAACTCTCGTAACTGACCGACTAACTTTTATAATTGATACTAGTTTTTTCATGTACTTTGCGCGAATGAGATAATGCCCAATGATTATTTTTAAATAAGTATTTTAAAGTATATCAATGCAATATTATATAGGAGATGTTTATCCGTAGGTAAATAAATGTTGAATTTGTTTATTTAAATCGATAATTTAAAGTATATAAATTGAAAATAATATATGAGAGATTGATTATAATTGTCACTAAAATAAATGTTTGCAATTTTGTAATAACTCTAGTTTAAATACTTAGTTTCAAAATGATAGTCTAAATAAATACTATTTTTAGTTTAAATTTCTCTAATTCTTCATAATTCTCTTTTGGGTAGCATTGTCATTGTTTTCATCTTCAGTGGGCGAGGCTGGCTGCCTACGAGCCCCTGAGGAACTTCCAAGAACGCTAAGTCAACCCAAACAAGTTAATGTGAAAATATGATTGTTGTGCTCTTCCCCTGATCATCCCCTTGCTATGTGTTAATGTGTATCGGTTGTTGTTGATATTGAGTCGTGGCCACTACTGTTGTTGTGCACGTTGTTGATTGGTGATTGTTGATGATCATTGATTGATTATGATTGATTGTCCATGATGAGAAAAGATGAGATGTGATTGGTGGAAAAGAAAATGTTGGTGGTTGGCACAACGAGTGTCCGGTCATTGTATTGAAGGTACAGGCCTAGCGGTTACCATGCTATAGGCACAAACCCACCTTAGACTATCTTGCTAAAGGCATGAGTCAGGTTATAAGTGTTGTGATGCCATGTCAGGGCTATATGCACTGAACATGTTCTTTCTTTTTTATTTTTTTGTTGGTAGTTTGTCATGTGCCATTAGGTTACTGGTGGCAGCATAGAGGGATTCATCATGCAATGAGATTATGGTGTAGAAAGCTTTAGATTTGCATTGTTGCATATATGACTGAGATTTTAGTTGTAATATGGACAATGATGTAAGAACAATTTTATCTGATAAAAAAATAATAGTATAATATTTGTAAAGTAATGTACAATTGTACCATTATAAAAAAAATTACAAAAAATATTAATACCATAATAACCTAAATCATTCTAATAATGCAAAAGCATAATTGAAATATTAAGTTTGTTCTAAATAATCAAAAGAAGAT